ACACCAAAAGTGATGGGCAGAGACACCTCAAACGACGTGTGAAGGATTTTGAGGATGAAATGTTTCGGTTATGCATTCAAGATGTGTTCGAATCGTATGGTGAGAGGACATAAGCCATGACAAACCCGACACCTCATCGACAAACTACCCTGGCAAACAGATTATTCAACAGGAAAAGAAGAGTCAAACAGACAACTTAGCACTTAGTGATAGTGGTGTCAAGGAGGAAACCGATCTTGATATGAACGGAATCGGGACTGATGATGGTGGCATCAATTTTCTTGATGTGGAACTGTTGCATCAATTTGGCAAGCATAGGATCGTAGTTAGAGAACTCGATATCATCACCATCAACGGTGTAATCAGCGCCAGCAGACATACCCATCACATTGATGGTAGCGCGGCCATTAGAGGCAAAGTCAACAGTGAAACTCTGGCCCATCATGCTACCGCAGTAATGACCACCGAATGCAGGAGAAGCAGCAGTAGTAGTGGTCGCTTTAGTGGTCGTCATAGTCGTAGTGGTTGCTCTAGTTGTGGCAGTAGTCGTAGTGGTGGCTTTAGGGGTGGTGGCAGTAGTCGTAGTTGTCACTCTAGTTGTGGTAGCAGTAGTCGTAGTGATAGGACCGACGGTGTTAGTGGTGGTCTCCACAGGGGTGGTTGTCACGGCCTGAGCGGTAGTCGTTGGAGCAGCCGTGGTATTAACCTCAGTAGCGGTAGTCGCAATAGAAGCACTAGTAGTAGACGCTGACTTGGTTGCGGGAACCGCTGTGGTGAGAGGAGATTCAGTGGGCTCAGCGGTGGTCACATGACCCATGGAACAGGGTACGGCCTCGCCGACGCAGTTAACATCACCAGGCTGGAAGCAATAGGAGCCGTCAGTTCTTCTGACGAGACCGAAGCAAATAGAAGGTGTCATCCAACCCTTGCAGTATGAACCATACTTGGACCCGCGGCATCCATCGACCTCGGAGCACATCTGTGAGCAAGCATCCTCAGTGGCAGTGGCCACAGCAACGGCACTGGTAACAACTACAGCAGCAGAAACAGCAAAACGCATGGGGAAAATTTGAGATCAATTTCAAAAAACTGCAAATGCTCGAGGAGGTATATGAGTGATGCACTATAAACTAACCTCACATTACATACAGTTATCACAACCTGAATTCACTTTGATCCGAATTAATAGTCTATAGAGACTACTAGCTTTAGCTGTACTATACCTAAAGATACTGTCCCGCACTTGTTTGTCTACAACAGGCATCGTGTTTTACCAGGCTCCTAACTACAGTGATCTATACTTGACTGCCTGGGCATTGTAAAGCTACTGCGAAATGGGAGGGATCAATCATGACCGACGGTGGTTGTTTCCTTTCTCTGAACTCGTTGTGTGTCACGCTACAATGACGACCTCTTCGATAAGTATATCCGGAGGGATGGCGGCTAGTAGGTCCATATTCATGAACGTTACCTCATATGTCAGAGTGGCTGACCTTTCGATGACTGAGTACTCATCCCTACCGTGCTATCGTATTCTTCCGTCAACTGCAAATTCAAGACGCTGAGATTTGTGCCGCTCAAGGGGAGCTCGCAGGAACCTGTAATGAATACGGCGTGTCCGATAAGGGTTTCAGGAAGAATGCGTACCATAATCACCCGATGATTGATCAGCTCCGAAACTTGCTATTCAGACTTCAGTTACCTTTCCTCTAATGGTCAAAAATATCGAGCTATATAATTCCTCATTCTACTCGTGATTCGGCGAGATTAGTGTACTCCTAAGCTTCGGACTGCAATCGATTGCGACTTCCGTGAGCCCGCATTCCTTCGAGCGCTTTGACCAGTTCAAATACACACGAACAATAGATTCATGAATAAGTCACGGTGAGGGCTGAATTTGAGTATGAAAATAGCAATGCTTCACCGAATTCGGAGATCCCTCGAGATCCAAGGATGAGAGACTTCCAGGGCAACAACCACGAAGCGGAAGCTCGGACCCAACTCTAACTGATCTAGAAGACACTGCGATGCTTAATAACCGCTGGACGCACTCGCAAAAAACACCCAAACTATGTTGCCCCGTAGCACAATTGCTGTTCAACTCAACTCAATCACAACAAGTTTGGCAAATTCATTCAAGAGAATGGTGCTAGACAAGACGGAAACGAGTCAAACAGACAACTTAGCACTTAGTGATAGTGGTGTCAAGGAGGAAACCGATCTTGATATGAACGGAATCGGGACTGATGATGGTGGCATCAATTTTCTTGATGTGGAACTGTTGCATCAATTTGGCAAGCATAGGATCGTAGTTAGAGAACTCGATATCATCACCATCAACGGTGTAATCAGCGCCAGCAGACATACCCATCACATTGATGGTAGCGCGGCCATTAGAGGCAAAGTCAACAGTGAAACTCTGGCCCATCATGCTACCGCAGTAATGACCACCGAATGCAGGAGAAGCAGCAGTAGTAGTGGTCGCTTTAGTGGTCGTCGTAGTCGTAGTGGTTGCTCTAGTTGTGGTAGTAGTCGTAGTGGTGGCTTTAGGAGTGGTGGTAGTAGTCGTAGTGGTCGCTCTAGTTGTGGTAGCAGTAGTTGTAGTTGTCACTCTAGTTGTGGTAGCAGTAGTCGTAGTGATAGGACCGACGGTGTTAGTGGTGGTCTCCACAGGGGTGGTTGTCACGGCCTGAGCGGTAGTCGTTGGAGCAGCCGTGGTATTAACCTCAGTAGCGGTAGTCGCAATAGAAGCACTAGTAGTAGACGCTGACTTGGTTGCGGGAACCGCTGTGGTGAGAGGAGATTCAGTGGGCTCAGCGGTGGTCACATGACCCATGGAACAGGGTACGGCCTCGCCGACGCAGCTAACATCACCAGGCTGGAAGCAATAGGAGCCGTCAGTTCTTCTGACGAGACCGAAGCAAATAGAAGGTGTCATCCAACCCTTGCAGTATGAACCATACTTGGACCCGCGGCATCCATCGACCTCGGAGCACATCTGTGAGCAAGCATCCTCAGTGGCAGTGGCCACAGCAACGGCACTGGCAACAACTACAGCAGCAGAAACAGCAAAACGCATTGGGAAAACTTGAGGTCAATTTCGAAAAACTGCAAATGCTCGAGGAAGTATATGAGTGATGCACTATAAACTAACCTCACATTACATACAGTTATCACAACTTGAATTCACTTTGATCCGAATTAATAGTCTATAGAGACTACTAGCTTTAGCTGTACTATACCTAAAGATACTGTCCCGCGTATCGTATCCTGTTCTCTAACGGATCAACTCCAGCAGCTCACACACGGATGAAAACTCGTAATTCTATTGTTCTCGGAGATATAAGAGCCTCAGATGGGGATCACAAAGAGCTCATCGGGAAGTCGCGCTCCTCGCTGAGCACCAGGGGCGTGTATGATAGAATACTCAACCAACCTTTAAACACGTCGACAACTACCTTCGTGAACACTCGATTATTGAGCTTCTGAAAATGTCGCTTATTCTGTGTTCGTGGCGTGTTAAGTCCAATATGATGAACGATAGAGTACTTGCGAACTCTGACTGTGAACGCAACAGACGCTATCCGAGTGGAAGGAGACTTATCAAAGCTGTGATCAATTATGGTACTCATCCTGCTTATACCGTCATTTGAACATCAACATGCCGGACCAAATTATCCATGGATAGACATCCAGGTATACCGTCCTGAATGAAGTCAATAGTGATCGATTGAACTACCATGCGAGGAGCTTACCTGGGAGATGTTGCGCATGAGTCGATTCACAAGAGAATGTGCAGCACGAGTAGACACGTTCCCTCGAGCTGAGACAAGAGACACGTAAACAACTAGCAGCACAACTTGGTCACCTTTCTCCCCCATAGCTATGGCTTGATGGTAGTGGTCAAGAGCCTGAGAAGGCAGGCCCTGTTTGCTCAGGACAAAAGCTAACATCTGATGAGACTCCATGGTTTCAGCACCTGGGAAACGTTACACAAGGAATCATCGTGGTACTCACAGTTGCCATTGGGTGCCACTTTCAGTGCCTTTCGGCATGCCTCTGCCGCCTGTTCCAGCTGACCATTCTGACACAGCGAGAAGGCCAAGTTGTTGTGATATTTGGCGATGTCCTTGGTCTGAGCAGTAAGCTGCCCGTGTCGCCGACAGTTCTCGATGTCGATCGCCCTGAGAGCACTCACATTGTGAACAGGGTATCTTTTGTGCTCTACCGTAGTACTCAATGAAACTTGCGATGGCTTTCTCGTGATCACCAGCTTTTGAATGATATATTCCAATTTGGTTCCGTACCTCAGAGTCCGTTGGGGTTAGGTCCTTGGCCCGTTCAAGATACCTGGCGGAATGTTCGCAACGACTCGTTGCTTCGAAGACGGCCCGCCATGCATATCGCTGTTCGATGCACACGATGTCATTCAGGCTCACGCGAGAGCTGTAGCATAGTCCACTTGGACTCCTTGACCTGAGTAGCTCTCAGCTGGGCCAACTCGCAAGTATTCCATGCCTATGAGCAACCACGGTGTGTGCCATCTGAGGCGATGCTATAACAGAACGATCATAAAAAACACCCACACTACTCGGGGCAGTGCTTAATTGCCGAGCGGTAAGCTTGTATAGCACGCTCAGACTCGTCGTTGGCGGCGAACGAGCGGCCAAGGGCAATCCATGCCGGTCCGA